CCTTAAGGTAAATTTTGAAGCATGGTGATTTATGATAAGAATCATTCAGGCAACTCCCTTTATTGTAACTGGGAGCTGACAATCAGTTCTTGCCTAGGTGTGAAGATATGCGTATTTCCCCATAAATTTATTTGGCCTTCTGTAGGTAATGCGTCTTTTTTAAGCTTTTATATGCTATCAGGAAGTTGTGTTTCTAAAAAAACCCATTAAGTTTCCAAACTTGTACACAAAGTTTAATTCTTCTAAAATATTTCACACCGCCTCGCCCCCCCCGCAAAAGCAATTCCTGTATTCTGCCTCTGACCTAGCCGTATCGCAGGCTGAATGTCATTCTTGTATAACAGTGCTCTAAGCCTAAGTGAAAACAATTAAAAATGGGTATTTATGTATAATTAACTCATGTTACACATTTTTTCATGCCTGCTACCATCATTAACATTGAAATCAGGTATTCCCACTAGAGGCAGCATTTCCATCTCGTGCCAGTGTGTTACTGGCATGCTGTGGATGTATCCCTAACAAAACAGGCTGTAGGGTAATTCTGAATTTTACACTGACTCACTCACTCTCAGCAACCCAAACCAAAAGTTGAGGCCAAATTCCACTATTTTTCTTTTCAAGACTGAAAGCACCATCTAAAATTAGTTGGATGCCCTTAGATTTTGCAAATTGATCATTATTTTGTGAGTTTCTGGAGTGCATTTGAAATCACAAACTCTTCATGGGAGTACATCTCACAAAATGGAAGAAGAATAGCGGTTGGTTTACTCCCTTGTAAAAATTGCAGATAAACACTTAGTGCCTGACTGGGTGTTCCATCTATTAGGTTAAGATAATGAAATACTGTGTGAAAAATTGTATTTGCCTGCATTAGTAATACATTACATTTCTTCAGACCTTGCATGCTCCTGAAGACACTGAAGGCTAACCCATGAAAGATTATGAATCATATTAAATAATGTATCAGTAAGATTTTAACTGCATCTCTAGATTGCTAACACGTAAAGAAAAATGTTACCTAGGCCTATGACAAAATTATGGGAATGGGCCAACTCTAATATGCAAATATAAGAGAGTAGAGAGAGCAGAGAGATTCTTTCTCCCTGTCTTTCTACCTAACTACTTAAGGCCATCTACAAATGTCAGATATTTATATGGCATCTGTCACCATAGCATTTCGTCTCCTTTTTCCTGTTAACTTCAGGAGTATTCTTTTCACAGGGTAGATTTGGCCTAGGCAAGAACCAGAGATGGCAGCTTCAGAAACAAGAGTGGAAATGCAGAAATGTATTTGTAGTGGTGCAGAGAGACAGTTATCAGGGCTGGCAGCCGTGCGAAGGTGAAAGCTCTTGACACTCCTCACATGACCTTTTTCTCTGCTGAACAGAAACTGGAACATTAATGATCTCTAACAGTGATAACCGTGGATCCAATATGACACCTCTTCCTCACTGGCACAGCCAGGCAGGCAGTCAATCGGACTGCTTGTGCTTGACTGGTCCCAGGAGCAAGTGTTGCAAGGTTAGACTCCACACACATACAACTCCCTTTTTACATGACTGCTATTGGGACCAGATCCTGCAAAGCATGATTCCCGTGCGCAAAAGAATTCACTAGATCTGGCCCTTAATTTTTTTCCAAAGAGATCACTCCCCTTTCTTCTATAATAATATTTCAAGTTCATTAAGAAGGCAACTGCTTGAGAAGATATAGGATTCGTGTCACCTCCAAATTAGAGTATGTACGCTGAGAAATTCTGAAAAGGATACCTGAACACTTGAATAGTTTTTCAAATTAAAAAATAATGGGATTCCTGGCAGCCATCCTACCCCCATTTACTGACAACCTGGGCTTTTATTGCACTTATGTTACTGATCAGAGATACAGCTGCACAATATTCATGTCTCGCAACTTTTCATAAGCTGACGGCTGAGCGGCTGAAATTGGATTTCTATGACTAATTTCTTTGGGGTTATGCTAATGACTGCAGAAATGTTGCAAATGGCATTGGGCATTTACAAACTCAGCCTAATATTAATCCTGAATAATTTGTGCGAGACAGTTGTCAAGTTAACTGTGATGAGAAACACAGAAGCCTTAGTGGACCTTTCACAACTACTTCCTTATGCTTTTATTATTATTCCTTCCTCTGAGCACTGCTTCTCTAAATGGAGTTATAGCATTTTAAGATGCAGCTTGCCACATTTGAGGAGAGAAAGCATTTAATGGATTACCCTCCTCGTTTTAATCAGACTGGTTGCAGAGGACTTAACGCAAGAAACCAAACATGATGCCATCTCCTCTTGGGAACCACAGCTCCAAACAAGCTAACAGAGAAGAGGCAGGAGCCTTTACATTTGAAAAAAGAGAACCTACCCTTTTTGTCCCTACCACGCCACTATGACGTCCTATGTGCACCCCGCGAGTTCTCGTATTTTAGAGTTTTGCTACTATACATTAAAAGTGAGGGATTACATCAGTTTATCTTTCAGAGTGAGATGTGTATGAATTTTGGATCAGGTACCATACAAGCTGTACATAGTTATTATCCAAAGCATTTCGATTGCATTCACGTCTGCGCGCTCTAGTATTCAGCACTTTCAAAGCCAATCCCAGATAAACAGGTACAGATTGGCAATTTAAGAGTTGAAAAAGGCTGCTGTGAAGAAAAAAAACACAAGGTTTGGAGAGCAAAAGCGTTAAGCATATACTTGTGTTCTTAACTTCCCTCACCAGTTACCCCCGAATTTTAAGGTTATGGGATAGCATGACTTTTCCTCGGGGATTTAAAATGGAAGCTTTGCTCCCTCTTGTACATACAAAATGGTGGTCATGGGTGGAGAGGAGGATAAGCCTTTTGGTTCTCCTGTTCTTCTTTCTAATATAGTAAATTGGGTATATCAGTCCTTGATTTAGAAAGCCTAGATTTCACAGTGAAAAAGAAGTTCTTCGTTTCTAATGAACTGTCATTTATAAAAATGGGGGAAAAAATCTGAGTCTGAGGGTTTTTTATAGTAGTAGAAAGACTGGAAGTGCCCCCCCCCCCCCCCCCCCCCTT